AAGACCGTACTTAAACCCGAAGAAAACCCGACCCGGAAAACCCTACCTAGATGGAATAATCACAACAGTCTCTTCGTCTTGTTCTTGTTCTTATTCTTCACTCATTTTTGTTTTCTATCTAGCACAGTTGAGAAATATTTTCTTCTTTCATGTTCATTCTTCTAGATATTTAATTGGAGAAACCGCAAAAGAAGCTTCTAACTATTCGAAGAAATGTAGAAAATGTGATTATAAAACTGTAAAGCTAATGATTTGGACAGCAAATCGCTCCACTTATGAGAGTTAAAGTCACGGTCAAAAGACGTTTCATTACCGATTCAAATTTCAATTAGGAAAATATTTTGGCAATTTCAATTTTCACAATTTATTGATTAATTCGAAATCGACAAAATTTTCCACTCAATTCAATTCTGCTTAATGAACTCCTTAACCCACTTCAATAACTCAACAAATGACTTTTTTCTTTCTCATTGTAGCATGACTCACAGCTAGCTAGTAATAAGTTGAATAGATTTTAAGAAATATCTTTTCATTGCATTGGCACATTTAAACATTTTATTTTTCTTCTTTTTTATATCAATTATGTTGCGGATCACAAAAGCATTAAAACTGCCCTAAACTTTTTGTTGATCATGCTTCAATTGTCTTAATAATTGGAATGCTCCCGAATTCGGGTTCCATAGTCGTCGACAACTCTTTTTTTATGTCTTTCCCATTGAATCCAAACAAACTACTTGAAATAAGCACAAAAATCTTTGCGTTTTTTTTCGCCTATAATTTTCCTTCTTCTTAATACATTCACTCAATTTTTTTCTTCTTAAAATGCCAACGTCTTATTTTTTTTCCTTAGTTTCTCCTTCTCTTCACTTTTATTTTAAATTCTTGAGTGTCGAGTTTAAATTTTTTTTATCAATTTTTTATATTAAAAGTTTTGATATTAATTTGAATTTCAAATATTCCTTAAGTCGTTTTATGTTCACTTTGCATAATTGATAATAATGAGCTCATTGACCACTTAAATAGACACACGAGAGACGGAGAAGTTTTGAAAGTTACCTTCTTACTCAACGGCTGAACACTCACTGAAGCAGTCTGAAGGTTTCTTTAAGAAATTCTTTTCCAAGAAAATAAATAACATAACGAAATGAACGAAAATCTCTCGTGATACCAACACCATTGAAGGTGGGATAGAGAGACACCGCAAAAAGCAGCAACAACTCGAGTGTTGTATCTCAGACCCGTTTCTTTTTCTTTCTTAAACCATATAGAAATTTTTTACTCGATTTTTTCTTTCTTATTTGCTTATGTTTTTTTATTCATTTTCGAGTATTGAAGCGCGCGATTGAAGAATTTAATGTTTTCATTGTATTTCCATTGATAATATTGTGACTTGTAGAAGCTTTTGACGCAACCCCAAAATGGATCACTTTTATGTTTAAGTTTCTTCAATTTAAGGTTCGTCACTTAAGCGACAATTCAAGTCTCTTGATATTTAGTTTTCGTTCATTAAATATTCAAAGTAAATTGCAGTTCATTTATGTATGTATCTCTCTCTAACATTTTCATTTATTTATGTATACCACACCTGAGCATGAACAGTCGAAACCCCATCATAAAAACAATTTTACAACATTAAACAATTCAAGGGAACAGGTTTGTTGTAAAAAAAGAGAGAGGAAAAAAGCTATTTGAGACCTGAAACTTTATAATTTAGGGAAGATTCAAGGAATAATTTCTTGAACAGGAACAACGGATGACTACAAAGGCAGTAGAGTTTTAAGAAAAGGTAAGAATCATAAATTATTCTCAATTGGTTTATGATTTAATTGCCGAAGTTCGAGAAGCAATCCAGTTAAAAATAGATATTGTTAAATAAAGTTTTAATTTGCACACCGAATCGTTTTTAGCACATGAAATAGATAAAGTCAAGAATGCTACCAACACTCGTTTTCCTCCGCAGCATTCAAATAGTAAAAAACAAATTTTGTTGAGACAAGAAAAGTAAAACGAGTTGAGAGAAAATTGATTGGTATGTAAGGTGTGACGTTGCGACATAGGATAGTTGTTGCTGCCGATTTCAATCTCGAGCGTAAACATGAGTTGAAAACCAAATTCAAAACTTTGAAGGGAAAAAATTTCTTTCAAGAAAGAGAAGAAAAAAGAGAGAACTCGTTTCTTTCACAAAAGAACCAATATTTGTTTATTTGTATTACGATTTCTTGGGGATTGTACGTGAGCTGAGTTGATAGATATTAGTATAAAAACTTAAGAAAAAACGAAGTAGAAAATATGCAAGAAAGAAATAATTGGCATAACTGAACTATGCTAATGGGAATTTTTCCCGATAGCTAACTTGTTTCATTCTTTTCAATTTCACCATAGTTGATAGTTATGAAATTATAAATAATTTAGATCTTCCAAAGCGATAGCTCAATAATATTTTCATAGAAAATGCATGAAAAACATTTCACCAAATTGATTTAAATGTAAACATCTAAGCATGGTCAATTGTTTGCTGCTTTTCTCTTTCTTCATTCACATTTCATTTACTACAGACTTCAAATAAATATTCTCTCTCTACTCAATCTTGTGACACCTGTGAGATTGTTCCATTTACACAATGAGCCGTAACAGTTCTGTCAGTGTCCATGTGGAATGTAGGAATGCCAAGAACAAGATTTATCTGAACATATAATGAAGTGAGTAGGTATCCTATTTATTAATTTTTCCTTTGCATAGATTATACATAAAGGTGTAAAATTAATATATAAAGTAGACTAGGTGTTATCATTAACTGCCTACCTGTCTTCCATGATCGTTATGCATTAAAACAAGGAGCTTTAAACCTTCGAAGAGCTCTAGGCGAAGAAATAATCATCAGAGATGTGTTAACCTGTTTACATTAAAAATCTTCCAATTACATAAGACTATGAACATTACACCGTTGTCTAACGACATCGTCAATTTTTTTTTATTGAACAGTTTAATGTGTTTTTTTGTTGTTGATGTTGCTTAGTTTCCGATAAAAAGTATTCAATGAAACTACTCGGGAAGCAAAATAATTATTTATCATATCTCGATATTATTAAGAAAATTTCAATTGACTTTTTGTGAACACACTCAAGTAATACTTTGTCATCATCGTATTAGTTTCGCTAATTTAAAAATAGTAGGACACAAAGAAAGTGGAAGAATGTTTATTGACTATTTAACGGGTTTCTTCATGATTCGTTTTAGTCTAATGATGATTTTGACTAAACTCTTTGAAAATTTTTCATTTAAAATATCTAATTAGAAGTAACTATTTCGGAAATTCTTGTAGTTTTGATTTCTCAACTTTCTAATAACGTCATTTGACGAGATATTTACTTCTGGGTATTCATTCATTTGACGTGTTCGATGTCGTCAATAAAGAACAGTTATTAATTTCCAATCATCTATTTACATATAAATGATATTTTTATTTTGTGTTTATGAAAATATTTGCATATAACAGGTCTTTTGTTAGCACTATTTATGTAAGTAATTTTTGCTTTACAATAATTAGTAACATGTTGTGAGTTAGAATTACTTTGAAATTACCAAACAGACATTAAAAACACATAAAATATAGAAGAAACTTTCTCTGGTTAAATGTACCTTAGTTAAATGTACCATTAGAACATTTTATAGATTTTATTAATTAACTACTATTTATTATCTTATTTAATTAATAATTTCAATTTAACTGGATAATTAAAGTCTACTTGATCTTTATTTCATCGAATTTGAATTCAGTTTTATATGTAGGTCAAGGAAGTAAAAAGATAACCCTTTTCAAATGAAATACAGGATACCTTCATATTTTTAATTCAGTTTAATGTTTTCCAAGCTATAAAAGGAATAAATGAATCAAAGATAGTGGAAAAACGAACTTTTTAACGAACTTTTATCTAAGACACATTGTTTTGTTTATTTAAAATATTTTTTGTTTCATATTCTACTCACTTGCAGGGCTCACTTGTCAACAAAAAGTTTGCTGAATTTTCTCTAATTTAAATTTAATAAGATAATATAGCCAAATTTCTGTCGCAAATGAATTAAAATCAGTGACAACTAAAATCTATTATCAATTGGTACACTTAGTTATTCGTGTCATTATGCTTGTGTTAAGGAAAATCAATTATCAAAAAACTTTTCGCAACATGGAAATATTTCGGCGCAATGCTTCGAACCATCCTTTGAGTAAATGTTTATAAAATCTTAGCGCTATCAAATTTTTAAAGACAATTTGTTAGTTTTAGGTATTGAGACGAGTTGTGACGACACTGGAAATGCAATAATGAAAGGAAATCAAATTTTAAGTGACAAAATCCATACACAACTTGAATCAAATTCTTTTGGCGGAATTATACCTCCAGTAGCTGCAGATATTCACCGGAAAAACATCGAAAGGGTTATAAAAGAATCCTTTGAAGAAGCAGCGATTAGTATCAACGATTTAGACGCGATTGCTGTGACAAACCGGCCTGGACTTGGAATGAGTTTAAGGATTGGTCTTAGATATGCAAAACATCTGTCAAGAAAATTCCAAAAGCCTTTAATTCCTATTCATCACATGGAAGCACATGCTCTTACTGCTAGAATAGAAAACGAAATCAACTTTCCATTTTTGTGCCTTCTTATTTCCGGTGGTCATAGTTTATTGACTTTTGTTAATAATGTTGATGACTTCAAGTTGCTTGGTGATTCCATTGATGATGCACCAGGAGAGGCTTTTGATAAAATAGCTCGATTTTTAAAGTTAAGAAATTTGAAAGAGTTCGAAAACAAAAGTGGGGGAAAATCAATTGAGGATGCTGCAAAAAAATGTATCAAACCGTCTGACTGTTACGATTTTCCTTTTATGCTTTCAAGATATCGTGACTGTCAATTTTCTTTCGCTGGCCTTAAAAATAAAGCAAAACGACATATAATAAAGCAAACAAATACATTAGACCTTGACATCGATCAAGTCATTCCTGATTATGAAGACTTTTGTGCCAACTTCCAAGGAGCAGTAGCTCGACATATATGCAATCGGACACAAAGGGCTATGGAATACTGCGAGAAAAAACAAATGTTTAAAAGCAACGATAACAAAACATTAGTTATTTCGGGGGGTGTAGCATGTAACGATTTCATCTACGAAGCTTAAAGCCAACTGTGTGAATTGAGTGTTTTTACCGCCATAAGGCCATCTAAGAAACTTTGTACTGACAATGGAATAATGATTGCATGGAACGGTGTTGAACGCTTTAATATTAATAAGGATATTTATCATCACACCGAAATTGATGAAATAGATATTTTTCCAAAATGTCAGTTAGGTGAAAATCTGATTGATCAAGTGAAAAATGAAAATTTAGCTTGTAAATGGGCCAAAATACCAATTTTAAAACCTTTTTCAAGAGCTGTTAAATAAAGTTTTTATTAATAAAATAAACGGTAAAAGAAAATTATTCAAAAAGGTAATTCGAAATGAACCGGTTCAAAAACATGTAAACAAAAGATTTGCCGGCGAAAAATGGAAATAGAAATTGATAACTTAAAACACCTTTTTCTGAATATAATAAATGAGGATTTAAAAGATTTTCCTCAAATAAAGTATGATGATCTTACATTCAACCAGTTTTTTACATTGTTCATGAATAAAAATCTTCCAGTTTTAATAAAAAATGCTGATATCAAAACTGACATTTCAATGAAATGGATAGAAGGTGAAGAATTTAGAATAGAAGAAATCGAAAAAGTTTTACACAATCATGAAGTTCCAGTGGCTAATTGTTCTAAGAGATATTTTGATTCTCACGAAAAATTAACTATGCCATTCAGTGATTATGTTAAATATTGGAGAACTTCGTTACCACCTGGAGATTTTTACCTAAAAGATTTTCATTTGAAACAAGAATTTCCCGATTATGATTTCTACAATGTTCCTAAGTTTTTTGCATCAGACTGGTTGAATGAATATCTAATAGATAATAATAAGGATGATTATCGTTTCATATACATAGGAAAAAGAAATACTTGGTAAGAATTAATTTTGATCTGAAAGTGAAAATTAAAAATCATTAATTTACTGATCATTATTTAGGACTCCATTTCATTCAGATGTCTTTGGATCCTTTAGTTGGTCAGCAAATTTATTTGGTCACAAACGGTGGCTTATTTTACCTCCCGGAGAAGAAGAAAAACTTAAAGATACTTTTGGAACTTTACCATTCTCGATAACACAAGAAGAACTTACAGAAAAAAATGTAAGACACTTTAATGTGGTACAAGGACCTGATGATATTTTATTTATACCAAGCAAATGGTTTCATCAAGTATACAATTTAGATGACGTTGTTTCAATTAACCACAACTGGTTTAATGGATGTAATATCAATTTCATTATTGATAATTTATTGCGTCATTATCATGACGTTGAAATTGAAATCTCTGATTGTAAAGATATGGAAAATTTTGATGAACATTGTCAAGTTGTGCTTAAAGCATCATTTGGAATGAATCTTCAAGATTTTGTTGACATACTTAAACATATTGCTGAAAAGCGAATTGAATCAATTGTTAAATCTAAACAATGTGAAATTTTTAATGATTTTTACTTTGGTTTAAATATTACGCGCTTTGATCTTAAAGTTATAGAAAAAAGTCTTTCAATGTTGATATCTAATGAAAGTGTAATAAAACATTCGAACATTATAGCAATTGTTAATGAAACTATAAATAAAATAAAAGAATTAATTAATTAATTAATGTAGATAAATGGTTGTATTTTCTGTTGTATTACTTTAGTTTGCTTTTATATGAAACCAAATGAAAATAACTTTCACATTTTTATAAAAAGAAGTCCACATATTCAAAGTTTGTTTATTTATATTAATTGTAGAAAGATTCAAAGCCTTAAGTCATCTCAATGTACTCACTTTTTCATCACAAGTCTGAATCTGCCTCTTGGAAGTAAATCTCGTTTGATACGAGGGAATTTTTCTTTAAAAAATTCCTTCATAATTGTAAACGATAAAAATTGGCTGAGTCCAGATAAGTCTCAATTTGAAAGTTGAAGTTGTCCATTTCAAGTGTTAAACATATCAATTTGGGATGATCATCCAAAATTTGTTGCAAATCTTCATGAGCAATCTCAGGAATCTTTGATATTTCAATTATTTCCAGATAAGGACAAGCTCTGATAGCATTAAGGATTGATTTCTTGTTTCTGCTATTTATGCTGGAAACTGCGAATTTTTTAAGATTTTCATGTTTCAAATCTTCATCTACGAAAAGAAATTCTTGCCGCAACGAATACTTGTGGACGAATTGAAACGTTTCAAGTTTAGTAAAATACTTTAAAATTGTATTGATGATCTCAAATAGGCCACTGCAGAGTCTCAAATCTCTGGAGGAATTATAATTACCTAGCTCTGCCACAATTGATAACGTCTTAATCTGTAAGAATTTCCTCATACTCTGCTCGAATATAATGTTCTCAATATTATCACGATTAAAATCGTCGTCATAAATATCACCGTCAAATTCTAAATAAAGTTATTTTAAATAAATCAATTTTCTGAGTGCTCTAAAATCATTGACGGATAACTCCCAGATTGTAATTTTAACTTTAAGTGATTCAAGATATTTTAACTCGCTTATTGTGCTAAAAGTTTCATCTTCAATTGAATCATGTCTTATGTCGAGAGAGCGAAGCTTTGGGTGTTGTTTTATCTCAGGAAAATTAAAAACATTTGAGTCAATACTCAAATATTCAAGTTTACGAAGATTCAATAAGGTAAGATCTAGAACAGGTCTAGATATTCCAAGTTTTATTATTTGCGTTTGACAATTGAGAAATTGTTAGAAATTCTCGTCCTGATTCCGGGTGAAGATCCACATTTCTGTTACTACGTTTTTCGGTATTCGGTTAAAGATCGGATAGTAGGAACCTAACTTTATCTTTAACTTCTTAAGATTGTGTAAATCAAGCTCATCATTCCAATTCATATAAACATTTTCTAATGTCAAATCTTCAACGTTGAAAATGCAATTCAACATTTTAGCTAAATTTGACTCTAAAACTTCTGTTTTATAATCTTTTCTGTCCCGTAATGTAAATTTTTTAATTCTCTCTCCAAATTTCGCCACTATATTTAAGATTAGTTCAAAGTTTGGCAGAATAGGGAGAATTATTGTCAAATTTTTAAACTCGCGAGATGTATTAATGATTGATTTGTAAATATGTTTGTCATAAATCTGTAAATAATAAATTTCAACTAAATGTTTTACAGTTTGCTTACTTTCTTACTCAACTGTTCATATGAAAGTTGCAATGGTATACTGTCTCGTTCGACGATACATATCAGTTTATAGAATTTTCGACAAACTTGTGAAACATTGAAACGTGACGAGATTGAAAATATGAAGAATGATTTCCTCTGGTAAATTCATTATTACACTTTCCTGAAAGTTTTCTGAAGAATTCATGTTTCTTGATTTTAACTTTTACTTTTGTTTAAGTGTTAAGTTAAAGAAGTCTTTTTATTTTTAAACCGTCTGATTGAGTCCGAAAGTTCTAAAAATCATTTACAGTAAACTCTCGTTATAACATGCACACAAGCTGTTCTAAACACATTTTTTACGCTTTTAACCTCTCAAAATCTAGGTATTTACTTAATTTGACTTTGTTTCAATAAACTTTATTAGATACCATGGAAAAATCTCCTGAAAATGATTTAAGTACAAGTGAACAAGAACCTAATAAGAGAAAAGGTTACTATTTTTGAATAAAATGTCATTTTGCAAATTGAGTAAATTTCTAAACTTTTATACAGGTTCAATAGAAAATTTCGATGAAAAGAAACGAATTCGACAGAAAAATGCTAAAAGAGGTTTTGAAATTTTCAAGAATAAAGTAATTTCTCTCATTGATTCTGATCACGAATATGATAAAACAAAAAAAAAGAAGCCAGGAAAAGTTTCTGAATTTTCTGATACAATCATTCCTGCCACACCATCACCTCCAAAGGAAAAGAAAAATAACAAGCATAAGAAGGAGTTTGAGCCAAAAACAAACATTCCGTCAAAACCATTTGGAGAACATCACAAAAAAATGTACAAAGGTGTCATCAATGCTGAACTAAACAAATCGAATTCATCATTATTGTCATCCCCATCAATAATGTCAGTTTCATTGACTTCTAAATATCGGAACAGCCTTCTCAATGCCACAAAACACTCAAGTGTTCATCAGGATAATCCCAAACCTCTTCAAGAGACGAATGATAAATTATTTGATGAAATAAAACAATCAAATGATTCAAATATTCAGGAAAACCCAAACCCAAAAGATGATAAAATTGAAAACATTAAAAATAGTTCTCAAAAACATTCGAACAAGGAAAACATTGAGTTATCTCCGGTTAAAAAATTTGTTCCTAAGAAATCTTGGTCTGACATCAATTTAAAATCAATAAAACATTTGAAGAAAAATGTTCGTAACTTCAAGGCAATAATTGAAGAAATTAATAAGGCCAAGTAAGTAAACATGACTTTTCTAAATTATCATTTGATTATTTGTGATTTTTTTTTCTTTCAAACAGTCAGAAAATTCTAGACTTTCGACATGAACTCAATAAAAGTTGCGATTCTGAAACAAGTGGCTCAGGAAAATCAGACAACGATATGTAATTTCATTCATTTCATAAAACTTTTTATATTAGTTCTTAACTTTTCGTTGAAAAATTACATGAAAACAAAGAAAATTAATGGCAATAATTGCATTTCGGCGAGCATTTCTTTCCGAAGACTCCACATTTACAACCTCCACTGGTATCACCTTTTCCATTAGGACCCCATCTGGGACCTGATTTGAAACGTAAAACACATAATTTAGATGAAGGTTTTGAAAAGAACTTGAAAGTTGTTCTTACCTCTTGTTACCCAACAAATCTCCGTTTTACAAAAAGAACATTTCAACCAATCACAACCCCATTTTTTAAGTAAAAATATCTGTAGATATTTGATCAAACATAAATAAAATGAAAAATAAACAAAATATAAAATTCTTTCTCACATGACATGTTGGACAATTTAAAGCTTCTTCTTTATCAATTAAGTCTTGCAACATTTCTTTTGTTTGTTTTGCTGATTCACTGTCAGTGTCATTATTTAACATATCCTGGTATTGCTTGCAATTTATGCCATCATGGATCGCCTGTTGTTTGAATAAAACTTTAAGTAAATTTAATATTCGATTCATTATTTTGAAATTACCCCACAAGTCAGGCAGTTAACAATCGTACATACTGGACATCGAAATATATTTGAGGTGTCTTCAAAAATGCACCAACCTCGGCAATTTGGTGTTTTGCAATGAAATGTATTCTCAATTTTATGTTCAGCTTGACGAATGGATCTTGTCAGATGTTTTTCGTATTCTTCCTTAGAAACTAAAGCACGAATTTCACGTTCTTGAAGTGAACTTTGACAACTGTATTGATTGTCTCTAAAAGGACATTTAATTTCAGCATCTTCAGAATACTTTATGTGACTCTCTAAACATTGTTTACAGAAAGAGTGAAGACATTCACGAAGAACAGCTCCAGCATATGCTTCAATTTCGATGAAGCAAATTGTACATTCGAAAGTTTCTAAATTAGGGGCAATGTCAGAAAGATCCATGTTGACCAACTGTTGGTAATGATTTGGATTTAATTTGATTGTTTCTTTGGTATTCTCTTGACTAGACTTATAAATGACACTGGTGATCACAGGCTTTCTTACATCGGGGAGATTTGAAAAAATGTAAGATTTATTAGGTTTGAAGTTGTCAACGCCGCGATATTTATTTTTGGTGATATTTGGATTCAAAGCTGCGACTGTTTGCAGTTGTATGAAATTCTCTGCTTTGTTATTCCTTTCTTCTTCAAAAATATTAAAAATATCTGAAGATTTTCTGTTAGCGCTGATTCTATTGAGATCATTTTTCTGAGTTTGTGGACGAACTTCAATTTTTTCCATCTCAAAGAAAGTTCTTAAATCTTCATTGACTTTTAGTTTATACTCAATATCTTGATATTTTGTTGGGACTTTGTATGATGCCGGTCTTGTTGTAGAACATGCCAAACAGGCTGATCGATTTGGTGTGTTAATCAGGGTGCAAAGTGGACATTCCCAGCCATCTTCTTCTATTTTAAGTTGTGGCGATTCTTTTAACTTCCCACCAATAGCACCTTCAATCTCTCCAACTTTTTCATTTTGTAACTCATCATCAGAATCATTATTTACAACTTTATTTCTTCCAATGATATTGTCCTTCAATAGCCTTGAACTTATTACACACACATCAAGCGATCCATCCTTAATAATAAAATCTCCCAAAAGTCTTTCATCATTCTCTACTTGTTTTTCAAAACTTCTCGGTTATGTAAAGAAATATTTAAATCTGATTCTAAATTCTTGTAAACATCATCAACAGTCATTAGCATTGACACTTTCATAAGAACATTCCTGGTTTCATCGTCAATTTTCCATCATTTGATTTCTTTGAAGATTTGCATGTGAAAACAACTTGATCATCACCAACGACAATGTTTTGCTCACTCGAGCCACAATCTAATGACAGTCCCGATACTTTCACCCACAACAAATACCATTTTCCTGCACAAATCTTTAATGGCCTTAGGAACATCACATTATGGATCGTTTCCATAACTTCAACCAACAGTAAGATAGGAAGTTTTGGATATTGCATATCAATAAAATTGCTTCAGAATATTCCCAACTTCGTATCAGAGGAGTTTAAATCATAAATCATATTATTTTCATGATCTTCCTGTGTACATTTTTCTTCAATGTGCTTCTTCAATATAGAAATGTCTTCTAATCTTTCGTATGATTCATCAATACCTATGTTGTTTCTCAAATCGACTACTTCTAGTTCATTCAGCGAATCGAAAACGTTTGAATTTATATTTCTCAAATTGTTAGAATTGAATAAAACATATTTAAGTCTAGCGTTGAATGCAAACATATTTTCGTCAAATGATTCAATAAGATTGCCACTAAAATCACAAGCCACCAAATCTGGAAACCATTTCAGATTTTCCATTGATACTTTCTTGAGTTCAGAGTTCAAAATGCTAATACTCTGAAGAGCTGGAAAGAAATTTTCAATTTCCGAAGGAAGATAATAAATCTTTTGATTTTCAGCAATTAAAGCTTCGACATCCTCGTTGTATTTTTCCGGAAGATGCTCCCCAATCACAGAAGCTACCAAATCATTCTCTTCCACAACTGTTGTTTCTTTGATTTCACAAACATAAGCCTCTCCAACATTAACTACTTCTTTGACACTAAACTCACAGTTAATATTTAAACCTTGTGTTTTGTAAATCAGCTCAGTGATGAACAGAAACATCAACAAACGCCAACGTCTATCAGGAAAAATTAAAATTTATGATTTATGATTTGATAACAAAACAAAAATATAAGATCACATCATTTAAAAAAAAACACATCACTAAAATGTTTAAAAAATAATTCTGTTAGGTACTCTACATATTAAAGGATTTTAGTGCAGATTTTTAAAGTAAAGTTCAGAGCTTGATACTTTTTTTTTAAAAATCATTTAATCATTTGTAAAATTTACAAACACTCTTTACGGTTGATGCTTGAGTTGAATGAGCAATTTATGTGTCATTATTAAAATCATCAATACTCAGTTGAATTCAAGGTCAAGCTTAAAGTGAGAAATAACTTTTCTCTGCGCAAAATTTATTTAATCATTGCATTTGGAAATGAATAGTGAATCTTAAGTCCAAATCATATACATACACAAATCAATGGTCTTTGTTTTAATAAATTAAATTAAAGGTGTAAAGACATTTTTCAAAGGTTAAGCTGGCGTCAAATTGTTTTATCAAATGCGCAACCGTCTAGATACTGTCTTGACCTCGGCTTGATTCANTCAACGCCGCGATATTTATTTTTGGTGATATTAGGATTCAAAGCTGCGACTGTTTGCAGTTGTATGAAATTCTCTGCTTTGTTATTCCTTTCTTCTTCAAAAATATTAAAAATATCTGAAGATTTTCTGTTAGCGCTGATTCTATTGAGATCATTTTTCTGAGTTTGTGGACGAACTTCAATTTTTTCCATCTCAAAGAAAGTTCTTAAATCTTCATTGACTTTTAGTTTATACTCAATATCTTGATATTTTGTTGGGACTTTGTATGATGCCGGTCTTGTTGTAGAACATGCCAAACAGGCTGATCGATTTGGTGTGTTAATCAGGGTGCAAAGTGGACATTCCCAGCCATCTTCTTCTATTTTAAGTTGTGGCGATTCTTTTAACTTCCCACCAATAGCACCTTCAATCTCTCCAACTTTTTCATTTTGTAACTCATCATCAGAATCATTATTTACAACTTTATTTCTTCCAATGATATTGTCCTTCAATAGCCTTGAACTTATTACACACACATCAAGCGATCCATCCTTAATAATAAAATCACCCAAAAATCTTTCATTATTCTCAACTTGTTTTTCATTTATCAAAACTTCTCGGTTATGTAAAGAAATATTTAAATCTGATTCTAAATTCTTGTAAAGATCATCAACAGTCATTAGCATTGACACTTTCATAAGAACATTCCTGGTTTCATCGTCAACTTTTACGTTCACTCTGTGGGCAAACAAAGAAATTTTCTAAAAATATTTATCACAAATTTTAATTCGTTAACTCACCTAATGACTTTCTCATTACTGTCAACATCCGACCTTGGTCTTTCTTTTTGTCGTGTGACTGACAATGATACTTTCATCTTTGCTAGATCAGTTGCTAATTGTGCAGCCTCGTCAAATTTACCTTCAGCGATTGCAGTCTCTAAATTTCTTAGAATTTTATTAATTGCTAAAGTATTAGTTTGATTAATAGTTTTCGTTCTAAGGTTTGCCCGAAAGCTTTCAATTCCATCTTTTGATTTTAATTGGTCTGAAATTTCTTCAACTTCTTCTTGTTGTTGGCTGGTAAGTGGAGAGTCTTGTGGCTTTATTAAATCACTAATTACTGTTGGGATAATTTCATCATTTCTTCGAGGTTTTTTCGAGTCTAAAGATGTTTGAACAGAACTCGAAATTCTTTCTGATTTTTCCTTGGAATCGACAATAATCTCTGCACGATTTAAAACAATTTCAATGTTATTCTCTTTCTCCATGCTGGCACGTCGATTTCCAGGTGAATTCTTGAATACTTTACGTATAGCTCCAAGTTTAGTTTGATCTGTATATGAAGGCAAAGGCGGCAAAAGTAAAGATTCATTCACTTTGGTTTGATTTTCTTCTTCCTTTAGTTGAATTGTCTTCATTACCGGATACTTTTCAGCCAAAGCTTTCGCATTCATCTTCCTTATCTTTTCACGAAGTCTTTCTTTTTCTTGCTCTAAAGCAATTGGATCAGAAAAATCAAGTTTATCAGGAAATTTCTTTTCCGGACTTTGCTTTCGATTTGTATTTGCATTCACATCAGAATTATTTTTCTTAAAATTTGAAAATAAATTGAACTTTGCAAGTCGCGCTGATCTGACTTCATTCAAGTTTGGTGTGACTTTCCTTTCAATTTCATTCTTTTTATCATGATTGGGAATTGAAGTTATTGTTGGTGTAGCTGTCATGATAACAATATTGTCATCATTTTTATCATTCAATACAGAGGTCTCTTCTTCAATGACGTCAATGCTGGTTTCACGATTATCTGATGGTGATTTAAAAAGATTTTTCTTCACGTTCATCAGAGGTGAACCAGAGTTTCTACTAGGAGACGGCGACTTTCTTTTTGATGCCTTTGCTATTACAGTTTCAGATGCTGACTTTGACAAGCCATTCGCTAGTGGAGGATGAAAATATTTCATGACAAGTTCTTGCTTCTTATCCATTTCTTCACGATCACTTTTTATGTCTTTGCGATTATTTTTTGGTGATAAATTTCTGTTCTTTATAAGTTCACCACTTTCTACACAAAATCTTTTGTCATATGGTTTAATTTTTTCACAAGCTTCGCAGATAATTTTCCAATTTGGATTATTTAATGTACAATAAGGACACGTCCATAAACCCATCAAATCATTTTGTTTTCTTACGTCATTTGTTTCTTTTATCAAAAGTGGAAGTTTGGATGACTTTGGAGTTGTTGGTGGACTTTTAGGTATGGAAGTCTTCGATTTGACTTCAACTTCTTCCTCTTTTCTATTAGAAATGAGAGAAGTATCTTTATGTTCACCGAAAAATTCTTTTCTAGCTATAAATGCAGAGTTCAATGTTATTTTATTAACAACCGAAGTTTCAGCTTCGAATTTGCTAATTAAATCTTTTGTAGATTTTGGACGTACATCAACATCATTTGCTGCTTCATTTTCGACAACGTGACTTGTGGTAGATCTCAAAAAATGCGCTTCATTTTTCTCTTTATTCAAATCATGTCTTTGTTGAATTATTTCTGCGGCTTCACGATCCAATTCGCTAATATTTGGCATACCGATTTGCGATTTTCGCTTCTCAGAATCGCGTTCTTTTTTCCTTGAATCTTCAATAATTCGACCGAAAATATTAAATCGACTTGCACCACCAAAGAAAGAGTTTCTCGAATAGCCAAGTTCAGGAAGATCTTTCTCATTGCTTTTTCCCTTCTTCTTTTCAAGAGATTTTAACTGCAATGATCCACCATCCTTTACACTTGAGTTTGATTGTCTTTTAAACCATGGTCGGGGTGATATCGGTGATGAAGGTGTGACAGGGTTATCTTCTTTTGGTGGGAGTTTTGGACTTTCATTTCCTTGGTAAACAAGCTGACCTCTCTCGATGGTGAAAATATCTGACAATGATCCTTTAGCTTCAACCGTCGGCGTATCTTCTCGCTTCTTATTCTTTGATACTTGCTCAATCAAGCTTCTCTTCTGTTCATCTGTCAACTTTCGATCTTCTCTTATTTTAAGATAAGGTGAAATGTAAGATCTTCGTTCCATATCAGACGTAATAGAAGAAGATGTTGAAGAGATCGAGAAAGTTTGAGAAAGTGATCTTGATGTTCTCTCAATCAAAGATTTTATTTCTTTGTCGTCTAACAAACTTGATGATGAAGCGACAGCTTCTTCTGTGTTGCTTCTCGAGATTGGTGGTTTTGGTGCTGGTCGTTTCTTTCTCCTCCAACTTGACTTTGGTGAAAGTGTTCGTGGAATTTGGGGTGGCAATGGTGCTTTTCTTTTTCCTTTAACGTGTACGTAAGATCCTGATTTGTTGTCTTTTGATGCGTCGCTGTTTGTTCTTCGATGTTTTATCACGTTGAGATCTTGAAGTTTAACACTGTCGGGAAGATTCGCAGATCTTATTGGTGATGGAAGACTCAAGTCTTGATAACGATTGTTCAAATTATTCACTCTCAAAGTGTTATTATTAGTTTCAGCATCAGATGAATCAGCATAAAGTTGATATTTTCTTCTTAAATTTAGTTCTCTTGCTCTATCCGATTCTCTTGTTTGATCTCTCGTTTTACTTTTTTTTTGAAAGGTTTCAACGTGTGACGTTTCAGGCTAAAATTATCGAAAAGAAAATTAGCTTTATGTTGAATAAGAAGAAGTGGAATGAACTCACTTGTTTTTGATTCCTGTTTCTTAAGTATTTGACGGGCGGTACAAAAGCAAACGACGATGCAGTGCTGAAAACGCTATCACAGCTGGAACTTTGAGACAACACGCGACTAAATCGAGGACTAGAAGGTGGACTTAACTGATCGTTACTATCATAAGTTTTCAACTTTCGACGACCGTTCTTCTTAATTCTTTTCTCGTTATCTAAATCAAAAGTGTCTGTTGAACTTGTAATTTCACGTGGATATTTAATATCATTTACAGCGCGTAATTTTTCATCCTTTTTAAACCATCGAAAAAATGATTGAAAGCCATTAGACGAATGAGATCGTTGTGATGAATTATAAACATTTTTTGAATGTTTTGAATGTGGTTTCTTCCCATCATTCGTTAAGTTTCCATTATATTGATGGCTCATATTCCAATACCAATTTGTATCATCATATTCATTAATCTCATGATCATATTGCCTTCGGAAACGTCTCTTCTGACGATTATATTTTTCATCCCGAAGCATACATCTTGGACGATCTGCAGTTGAAAAATTCTGCAAAGATGAAATCATTTCATTAATTATTTTCTTCAGAATAAATAAAGAACATGTTGTCTGTGACTCGACAATTTAATGTCTATTGCAATGCATGAACAGATGTTAAACAAAACCAATTTGACAGTGATTATCGTTGACTCATAAAATGTTTTGAAGGTCGTTGATATATGAACCTTAATGGCTCATAAATAAATTGCGTGGGATCAAATTTTAATTCGAAACCGGTATTTTTTAATATTAAAAAAAACCTTCCATCTAAACCGTAAATCGCGTAACATGTGCAACTGAAAATATAAATCGAGAAGTGAAATTGGAATGGAACAAGGAATGTTTACACGTTGAAACAATTCGCTCACTTAAGTCATTTAAAACCAATTCTCCATTGAGTTTTCATTTGTTTAACTACTCTTTTCTTGAGACTTATGATTGAGTCTAATGAAAACGTTGGCAAGAGTCCAAAAGTCTCTTTCGGGAGAAAACATTCTGAGACAAAATGAATAATTGATTATAGATTCGTCGTATTTAATTTCTTGTTACTTTCGTTATTATAAATTTCATGAATGAATTAGCAATGAAAGAAATATTTAGAACATGAAATGATCAAGTAACAAATAAAAATGTTACATTTTTCCTGCAAACAAAAATAACCCAGTTGAAATATTTTTCATTTTGTGATCTCCATAAATCGAATATTCTTAAGTAAGTAAGACGCGACAGAATTTTATTTGTGATGATACATGGCAGGAAGTCCCATGATTAAGCCACAGCGTGATCTCATCGCTTGTCTTTGTCAGCTGACTTTCACACGTGTAGGCGGATATTTAAATATTTTGAAGACATCCCGATGATAATTAAATAATGTTGCAACCGGCAAACATCATATTATAAGTAATGAACTGAAAAAATATCGCTTAGGTCAATTTATCAATGAATCAAGTCAATCAGCGTAAATCAATTAGTTGAAAATGCTTTTTATCTTGATCATTGCACTCAAAGTAGATGACGAAAGATTTTCTATTTAGATCCCGGAAATTTAAAATATGATCTTCTTTCTACTAATTCAAACATACTTAATGGATTAAAATTAGACCACAATTTTGCGTGTTTTTCTTTTAATGTTTTGGTTTCAGTGATAGATTTTCGTTTCCCACTTTTAAATTTTCCACACTTTTCCTTCACTCAAGAAAATTCCACAAAAATATTTTCACTAAATGATCGTCTTTTAGATTTACTTGGAGATCGCTACAGATCGAGGCTGAAGAAAGAACTAAACTGGTGCAAAGATATTTTTTTCTTTTCTCAACTTAAAATGTGTTGCTCGCGCATGAGAAAAATTTAAATTGAGTTTCGTACTGAAAATATTCACTCAGACATGCGACACTTTTCTCTTTTTCTATTTTTATGAGAGTTTTGTGAACTTGACCCATCGATGAACTCTTCCAATTAGGAACAATTGATCGTGATATCATTAAATAACCAACATAAAATTTAAGAAATAATGGCAATCAATTAAAAATTCGTTCCACGCACTTTGTTATTGTTTTTATTTAGTTTAATTTTGTAGAGAAATGCACTCAATAGTGTCTCTCATTGCATTCTTCACGATAAATTGAACAAATTAATTTTGATCATTCCCAGCTCAGATAGACATTCAAATAAACAATAAAATATTTCCCTCAAAAGTGGAAACAATATTTTATTTTTCTCTCGAAATGCAGCAGCAACAAAATTGTTGGAACATGATCTGGAAAAATTACAAGCCTCTGACGTGACTGATGGCGAGACTTAGTTACAATTATATCATGTTACAAAACATTACTACAGTCAATTAGTAAACTCAATTTCCTATGTTGATCAACCTGTTCTTTGATTGTTCGTGATGTCAGATTTTTTTTGAACATAAAAAACTTGGCGAACGACCAAGTGGAATGAAATCTTCTTTATTTAATTCACCAGCAGAGAATGAACTAAAATTAATCATTTTCACGCATAAATTTCAATTTTTCTGGGTTATCCCAATGTGATTTAACTTTTTATCGGGATGTCTGGCGAGACCAACGATTGCTATTTTACTTTTACGTCGAAGTAACAAATATTTCTTTTCCATTAGGATTTATGAAAAACTTTGCGAATTTATTGATACCCACACATGTGCTACATACCATTGAAATAGTTTTAAATGGATTAGAAGTTCAGGTTTCGAACTTATGCAATTGACAATATTACAAATAAAAATATTGAAATATTAATCTTGAAAAATATTTTTGTACAACTTTTTCAATTTAAAATCGCGTGGAAACTGAAAAATTTTCAAGAAAAATTTTTCATGAGAGAGTATGGATGTGATTCTCTTAAGTTTGCGAAACGAAGGATGAAAGATTGTCGAGTCTGATGTTTTAAAAGAGGGATTAAATATCTTCTTGAAATCAAAATTATAAAAAGAAGAAAAAAAAATTATCTACGTTAAAATAAAAAGTCAAATATTTAGGTAAACTTTTCATTGAAAATAAACGAAATACTAATTTTCACAATTTTTTGAAAAAGAAAACTTTAATTAAAATTAGATATATTAAAGTGAGATGTTAAAAGAAATTAAAATTGACAGTCAAAGTATAATATTTTAGCCCAGTTTATTTACGTTTTTGTAAATCTACATTCAAGTAGAGCTAATATTTATCTATTTATCATTTTTTTCGATCATTGTACAATTCTTCCCATGAAGAAACTTTTCACTACACTTATTAACGTTTTAGTTACTTTTCTTTCTTCTATTATTAGCATTATCGCTTTCGTCCACTCACGAAAATACAAAAAAAGCGTTCAATGCCACAATGAGAATGCCGGAAAATCAAATTATTTGTTTCAAGTCGTCAATCCAAATTCAGGATGATTTTTATCATTTGATGTTTTAAATAATATCAGAAAAAAAATCCAAAAGCTTTGCTCACAATTGAACTTTGATGACTCGGAATACATTGATTCATTGTTAAGGGCTCGTAAAATTGAAGAATTATTAACTTCACAAACAAACTATACAATGACCATTTCGTTTCGAGACATTCATCTCAACTGAGAGATTTTTTTTGTGTAAAATGAATATCTTGACAAATGTTGAGTACTAATTTTTTCAACTCTTTTTTTTTCCAAGCGTTTTAGGGGGATCAATTAAGTTATTGGAGAAATCACTCACTTTTAACAATGGCACAATAATTAATTAAACTAATAATATGAAAACAAATATTAAATGTTAACTACGGAAAATCATCCATAACCGTTAAGTTTCTTGCAGCACGTGATACAAAGTAAAGTCCCTTTGGAAAAGCAACAATTCGAGCGTCTCATGTAACATTTAATATTTGGGGGTTTTGCTTGGATTTGTACAAAGTGTTGCATAAACCTGATGAACGCTTCAACACCAAGAAATTCGTACAATAAGTGCGCAATATTTTCACAAAATCCATCAAACAAAATTTATGTCTAAAAGTGCTGAAGATTTTAAAAATATCTTTTTGTGAGGTCATAGAAGAAAATTTTAAATTAGCTATCGCGAGCTCAAAATTGTTATTCAATCGATCGAAAAACGTCCTATAAACAAGTTCTTAATTGAAATTATATTTCAAAAGCGTCAAAAATTATGGAAAAAATGGAATATTCTGAACATTTAAAGAAATTGTTTCAATTGCATTTGTAGTAGTGCTCGAGTGTAAACACAAAGAGTCAACTGGGCTTATTTTCATATAAAATTGAAGATTCTCGCTGAAAAAAAACTTTTTTCTCTGGTGTACAAGCGATTACAAACAAAACAATTAGTAAAACTTCTATAAATATTCTAGCGCGCGAAAACAGAGCGAACATATAAATTTTCGCTTAAAAAAAGTTTCAGTTTAAAAATTGAAAATATTCAGCTGGTTGCAAATCAGCTAAAGTTAGCGTCAGATTATCATATCTGAATTTGTGTAATGTCCTTGGTGAAGATAACCCTGAGAAGATATAAAGCTAAAGCTAGAGGACAACAAAATCAAATTCAGTTCAAGAAGAGACTTAGTGTTCATCCTAATACGATGTTCAGAATAAAGAACTGCTTGAGATCACCGAAAATGGTTAATTACTCAAGTGTAATAAGTTCCTGCAGACTTTATTAAATCTATTTGTTGATTGAACATCGAAATACAAATATAAGTTTAATAAAACGCATCGTTAAAATTTTAAGGAAAATTCGAAAGTTTACAGTAATAATTAAGAAAAAAGTTTAAAGAAAGTTAAAATATCTGTCAAGATGAAGCTTTTAGAGTCAACCCGATTTGAAGCAATTAATAACGCTTTGACAATTCAAACCGGAGACACTACAATCTTCGGAAGAATTGAAAGTTACAGCTGCAAAATGGCTGGCAATGACAAACAACTTTATAAGCGATTCATCTCATCTGAGCAATCAGCTTCTGATTTACAAGCATTGTCGCCACCGCAGACATTAGCTGACATGTCGCCGTACTTTGGAAGAGGAAGTTATTCAGGAGATGAAGGCGTAACACTCTGCGATACCATCTCCAGAAAGACGTTGTTCTACTTAATTGCAACACTGAACTCTACATTTGAGCCGGATTATGATTTCTCGGACGCTAAGGTTTGTCACTAGTTGTATAAGACTCTCCCTGGTGTCAATTAAAGTTACCACATATGAAAAAAAAATACAAATTTATCTTTTGTTATCGTCACTAAAATTAATAACGAAACAGAATCCCACTTTTTTCTTCTTTATTTCTTTCGTTTTTCAATATTTTTAATGTCTGTTACTTGAACTCACTAACATATGTGAGAGTTGGTAAATGTTCGTATTCATATCTGTTCTTTTTCCTTCTTAAGACTTTTTTATAACACAAAACAGATCCCAAAACCTGTTTTGACTTTTTCATATTTATGCATTTTAATGAAATTTCATCCTTCGATCATAAACAAACTTTATGATTTGTAAATTATAATTATTGGTTTTCAGAGTCACGAATTCAGCAAGGAACCATCGATTCAATTAATAATGAATTCAATCGACTCAAATTTGTCAGCTGTTGCGGGAGAACAATGTAAGTTGTCTTAAAGATTGTCATCTGTGAGAGTTTTTTTATTAAGAAAGATGCAAAAATTATAGACACACAACTTCAAAACCCGTTGTGGAGTACAATTGATGATGAGATTCAACTCAATGATTGTGACATTTATAGCTACAATCCAGACTTGAATTCTGATCCTTTTGGTGAACCAGGTTCATTATGGAGCTTCAATTACTTCTTCTATAACAAGAAACTCAAACGGATTGTGTTCTTCACATGTCGGGCTATCAAGTAAGTGTAATATGATATTATGAACCGTGGCCAGTTGACAGCATTAGGTAGTTGTAATCTGAAAAAATTGTGGTAATGAAAACCAATTTCGAAGTCCAAAAAAGTTATCTTACGGATTCAGCTTTCACGGTGTTACGATTTCTTCTTCATTCTTTTTTTATTTTTACTCTACAATAGAAAATGATTTTGTTGCAAATGTATTATTTGTCTTTTTCCTCGTTTACGATTTATGCCGTTTGTAAACACACACACAAAATTCGATCGTGTGTTGAGAATAAAATTAAGTTTTGTTTAATAATAAACAATCACGAGTGGGATATTTTTTATGGAGTCGGGGAGAACAAAAATATTTAAATTTCAACAAAGATGTCTTTTGGAAACAATTGATGTCGTCAATTAAATTTATTGATCAGTTAGTAACAAGAAAATATTCATACACACGAAACTTTTATTTCTCCATGAACTTTCAGCTGTTTAATGTGTATATTTGAGGTTGAGAAAACAAACGAATAAAAATTAACACAACATTCGAAAGAGAATGAAGTTTACAGTTGAAAGAAAATTAAAATGCGAAAGCGTTTGTTGTAAACCTTTACAAGTAAAGTCGGTCAATTTCCATCTTACTTCTCACAGGCTGTGAGATAAACGAATGTCTGTTAATGATAACATTCATAATTAATAAACTTAACATGACTTCGTTTCTACAAAAAAATTTCTTACATAAAGTAATAAAAAGAAACTTTTTCTTCATAAAGAAAATGCGAATAAAATTTTCTTTTTTTTCAAGGTCATATTTAAGGAAATTCAATGTCAAGTGAAAACCATTTTTATAATAAAAAGAAAATAAAGAAACAAAAAGCGATTTGATCTCGCGTGTGGACGTTTTGCGTAAAACAAACAGAAAAAATATTTGATATGAAATCTGAACTCATTTAAATAATCAATATTTTAATACTTTCTCGTTAAAGTTCGACGAACTTTTTTATCTCTAATTAATTTTTTTATTCAATTATTTTTAGTCCAAACTCGAGCTGCAATGGTGACTTTGCGATGGAAGAAGAGGACGTCTACTTTTAAATCAATCTTTGAATGAAAACATAAACACTTTTGATTACGATTAAAAACATCAAATGACAAACAACATATTTCTACATAAAAACACATGAATTAAATTTTCAAAAACAAAAATACATAAAACTTTCGAATAGAATTAAAATAACTGTGCGATCGATGAATGAGAGCATGTGAGAGATGCGTCGTGACAACTCTTTCATACCTGATTCGCACGCGATGCTGGTGAAGAAACTGCTGATTATATTTCTCTTAAATTTAAGGAATTTTTTTTTCAAATGAGACGAAATTATCGTTCATCATAAAAAAATATATTCTAGGACAGAAAAAATCTTTCTAACAATATATCATAATTATTCAAGTTTTTAATATTAAAGAAATCGATGAGAGTGAATCTGATGATCAGTATATTTAGTATTTTTTAAGTATTTTATAATGAAAAAATGGAAAGTGCGCATAATTCTTAGCAGCAAGAAAGAAAACGAAACAAAACGATTTTTTATGCTTCATCCGCTTCACTCGAATCAGTCAGCAGTTTCCTTTACCCCTGTTTTTGTTTGCATAAAAAATAGAAACAAAAAAAATCTGATTTAAATGAAGATCTCAATGGATATAAAAACGTGCAAACATTAACAGCTTATGTGATTCACTCAATGAGGCGGGGCGGTTATAAATCGCATGTGAGAACTGCTCCATTGACTGAATAGTTAGAATTTAAGTAAATATTTCTTTATTCGGTTTTTCCTTCTTCCTTAAGTTTTAAAATTTAAAATGAATTTTTGTGACTAACTGTTAGACAAAAGAAAGAAAAAAAGTTTAAATACTTCGAATGTGAGGCCTATCAAGGAAGCTTGTGAGCAGCTTGATCATTCATAGTAATTTCAATCAATTTATATTACTTACTTAAAAGAAAAGTGAAAAATCATCCTTTTGTGTTGTGATAAAAGTAACTTTAACATGATTTTTATAAGTCAATTAAATATCAAACCTTTATAATCTGAAAATTTTATTTTGATTGAATTTACTTTCGATTGACGTTGCCAAATCGTTAGAAGATTTTTGAAAAACAAAAGCAAAAGTTTTATAATGGGAATAGATGAACTACCTAGATACATATTTCTGAGGCATTATTTACCTTTTCAAGATTAATGAAAAAACTGTAATTTAAATTATGATTTAAACATCAAAAGATAATAATACAAACGTGTGGAATAGAATTTCGTTTTAGGTGATGAGAATAATATCCTTAAGAATCCTTTAAAGTTCAAAACTATTTTGATTTAAATAAATAAATATTTACAATTCTCAATTAATATCTTTACAAAAGTAAGCGCATCAAGTGCACAATGTCTTAACACTTTCTCGCTAATCATATTCTTAGAATTTATAGATTTTCTTTTTATGCTTATATATAGTGTTAGATTGAATAAGGATTTAAAAACAGTGAATAAAATGAACACTTTGAAAAATTATTTACGACGAAATGTTTTAATTAGGATCGAAATGTTACCTTTACTAACCTTTGGAGTTTGTACCTGAAATAACAAGAAATATTTAATAATTCTTGTCTATCATCCTTGACCCTTGGTCAATCTTAAGGTGGGTCAATAAGTCTTCTAGTGGCATTATTAAAGAGATAATTACTATGCTGCAGACAGCAAAAAAAGGATTTTCAATATTTTTTTCTTTGTACTTTATTAAAACAAATGTTTCCAATAAGCATAAAATTAAATATGTAAACATGACACTTGTAGTCAAAGATTATTTTCAAAGATTATTGCTTTCTTTCATCAATCAAATATCTTACATTTCTACTTTACAGATTTTCTTACATTTTAAGTACTTAGAATGATCGAAATTAGTGCAATAATCTTGGCATCCAGAACCATAAAAATAGATTCAGAAATAATTTCGAAATCAAAAGATATTTGATATTTGAGTAGTTAAAAGAATTCTCAGAATAGTTTTCAACTACTTTTAATTTTATGATGAATAAAACTCTATTTCACCATATTTATGTACACCAAAAATAACTCAAAATCATATGATTAAAATTATTATGTCAACATTCACACCATAAGGGTCAATTAGAATTTTTAATATAAAAAATATTAATTTCATTCTATTTTAATTTAAATTCTCTTTAAGATATTTTGTCTAGAAAATATTTTTGTTTTTCTTCTTGTTTTAATTTCGAAAAACAATTTTCATAATTACATCTTTTATGTACAAAACTACTTAAATCTTTCTAGAATTAAATGATTTAAAACTGGTCCCTGAAGCTACTCATTAGTTAAATTAATGTCTATTCTATAATAAGTTGATCGTAACTTCGCCATCAAGTTTTTTAAGTGTTTTCTTTATTCGTAAAGCTGTTAGTCGAACAGCTGGATTTGGATGCCAACATTCTTGCATTATTTTTGATAGCATGGCAGTCATGTTTTCATGAGACCATCTTTGTGGAATGACTGGACGGATGCCTTTAACACAAACTACTTCATACATGTCTTGAATGCTTGGATCTGAAGGGACATCTTCATGATATGGCAAAGCATGTTCTTCACATGTCGATATCTTTGATGTTGGTTCTATTGTGATGCATCGACGACACATTTCCCATAATATTAAACCAAATGAATACATATCAGCCATCTTAAAAGCTTCAAATGATTTCATATCCAAAGATTGATCAAGAACCTCTGGTGGCATGTAACGTTTGGTACCGATACGATTGTTAGGAGCGATTTGAGTCTCGCCCGATTCCGATGTATATTTAACAGCAAGACCAAAGTCAGCAATTGCACATTGTCCATCATACTTAACTAAAATATTTTTTGTCTTTAAGTCACGGTGACTTATGGCAGGTTTTCCTGGAGTTCCAAAGATTTCTGTATGTAAATGTGCAACACCAGATGCCAAAGAAAGTGTTAAAGTTCTTAAAGCTTGAGAAGAAAGTGCACGATTTTGAAGAAAATCGTAAAGACTACCACACTCGTGGTAATCAGTTATTAGCAACATTTGTGTCCACGATCCTGTTCCTTTGATATCAGCAGCAATAAATCCAAGAATATTTTCATGTCGCATCAAAACTGTTTGATAGATTTCTGTTTCCCGGAACCAAGAAGATTCTTCAGTTGTAAAGAAAACTTTGACTGCAACTTTTTCATCGCGCCACTTTGCCAGCCACACTTCACCATATCGGCCTTTGCCGATTGACTCAATCATTTGTATTTGCTTAGAAATAGTGCTCTGTACAAGAATTGGAAGTTCACTTCCACCACTACCTGAACTTTGTTCTATTGCGCTTGATAATGGTGACACAATGCTTGTGCTATGTCCATTACAATTCGGTTCCAAATGTCTGTGACTTCTTCTGCTTCTTTTATTTCTTTTCCGCTTGTAAGTTATGAATATTGTAAAGAATATCATGACAAGTGTTGTTAGACAGAAAACAATGGAAGCAAAGATTACAATATAAGGCACATTCGTATGAATTTGTTTGGTATTTTCAATCCCATTTTCTTCATATGGCACAACTGTTGTTCGTGGTGAAAAATCTGGTAGTAAATCTTTATTACACAAGTCACCAGTTGAACAACATATAATGTTCTTGCCATGTATTTGTGCAGATTTACCAGCATTACACTAAAAAAATGTGATAAAGAGGAAAGATATTAAAACGACTTAAAGATTATTTTTATGATGAAGTTATTACTTGAAGGAGTCCGCCGGCTTGATCTGGAGATAAGCAACCAAATGAATATTCAGGTTCTATTAATCCAGTAATTTCATCATTCACTTCTTCCACTGCTGAAAAGCACTGTCCACCACCTCTAACCTCACAGGTTCCATTCTGCATATTTCCTGGACATGCTCCATCACAAAAACATGTCAAACCTGAAAATGAATAAAGATCGTAATAAGAATAAATGAATTTAGAATTCTTTTTTTTCTTTTGAGTTGGAACTTGCAAATGAAAGCTATGTGTAAAGACATTTATATAAAAATATATTTGAACAAATAATTTGGCAGATCAGCAACTTTTGTTGACGACTAAATGTCTATGTAGAGTTTACAGATATTAAAACGTTTATAAAAAATTGTTTTGAAAATTTAGTAAAGACATTTTTGATCTCATATTTTTTTTAATTCTGATTTTCAGTTATAAAACTGAGTCAATATAGAAGCAAGATATTTAGATATTCAAGGGTCTTAGCCGCGTTTCGCATCCCTTCAATCATCAAAGGCATTGAAGAATATTAAATAATGGTTGGTTATATAAATTTTATCTTTATAATCGTACATATGAACACATATTTATTAGTATGTACAAGCCTTAAATTAATAATTTGATAAATATCTACTATCATTCAATGACTTATTTATCAACAACCTTTTTATCGTTTTTCTTGATAACTTTTCAGTTTCTGTTGTAAATTCAAAGTAAACAAGCAGAAAGTGTTCAAACAAACAAACATATCTACATGTCATTTTCATGGTTTGAGCAAAATTGAGTTTTATTTTGATAAGGTAACTTCCGATTTTAGTTTGAAACCTTATTTCAATGACATATTTCGTTATAAATTTGTCTTTAAAAGCAATATGAAATATCAAGTCATAAATAATTTAAATTTAACTTCAAGTACATTAAAATAATTAATCAATCTAATAGATATGACGATTAAATAAATATTAACTTACCATACGCTTTTTTCTTTCTGTTTCTCGGTCCCATGTCTTATTGTTGTCCTTGTGTCTGTTCAAATATCTTCTAATCAACAAGTTGATATGGATATTATGTACAAAACTTTATTCACGGAACAAACTTGATTTATTTTTGCGTTGAAACCAATTTTATTTATTATCGATGTATTCTTTGTAGTGATTTATGCTGAATAGACGGGTTTGGTTTTTTAATAGTCAACTCAAAAAACTTAAGCACGTGTTTGTTTATTATAAAAGCACAAACTTCAAGAAGTTCACAATACAGCAATGAATAGAAATTGTTGTTGCTGGTGTTGTAGACAGTGATTCTTAACACTTCTTAAGTCTTATTTTAAATAAGATAATTAATTTAAAGTTTATTCTTATAAAATATGTTCAGTTGTAAGTAGGTATAAGATTATTTTTTAAACTCTAAACGTAGCATAATTTATTTATGTCAGTGTAGGTGACCCGATTTATTTCTTTTTCATTTTGTTTTCAACTAACTTTTGTATGTATTGCTGTTCACTTCAAGAAAATTTATCTCCTTGTATGTTAAATCTAGTAATGAACGAAATTTCCTGATATTTCTTGAGAGATTGATCTAAATTTGTTATTTTAACGACACCTTCAAAGTGTTAAGATAATTTTAACACTATCTGCTTCAAAAATTATTACAATATCTTCATTTGTGCTGCTCTTTTGTTCACTTTTTGCTGATGTAAAGCACATCTTTTGCCTTATTATAGGCGTTTAAATCAACTGATTTATCTTTTTCTTAAAACGTTTTTTCCTGATTCCCAAATCGGTCCAAAATAAAAAGAAATTCAATGGTGGAAATGAAAATAGAAAAACTCATTTATAGAACAAAAAAATTGAATAAATTAATTATTCTTTTACTTCGCACTTTTAAGAAGTAAATGTCTTCTTCTTAGTATGTTTTTCTCTTTTATTCAAAGATTTCAATTGTTTATTCACTTCAAGCTACACAAGAACCTTTTTTTCTCAAATGTATGCTTTAAAATTCAATATTTTGATATGGATATTATTATGCTGTGAGAATGAATGATTGCCAATAAACGAAAATTCTTAAAATACGTCTTAAGACATATACTACTCTTGCTAGACTAACTTAAAAATAGCCTCACATCACACACACTTCGAGATACAAGTAACAAATAATCAAAACCAACACATGATCGATTGAAATGAATCTCGTTTCTCGAAGCGTAGGCTCACATACACGTAAGTACAATCAAAAGAATAAATCGTTTCGCTTTTAAATTTTTATATTCTGCTATTGTGCCTTATTCTTGCTTGTGTTCCTTCTTGACAATAAAATTCAAAGCAAAGAATACGAAGAATAGGAAGGAGCAAAGAAGATGAAAAGAAATGAAGTGTTGGATTGTGTCTAAGTGAGAAAATATATTAAATTTCTTTTCTTTTTTTTATTCTTTATTTCTGAACTTCAGACAAGAATTCAGATTCTGAATCCGATTTTGTTAACGAATGTTTAGCTGTACAAAATTTCATTATACATGGTATCTTTTTAAAAAGAAAAAAAATATATTGAATAAAAATAAAGAAAAAAAAATATATTGAAGATATTCTTTCCTGAAATCAGATTCGAATGCTGTAGCTTATTCAATGTTTCATATAAAATGTACAATACTTTTAAAAATATTTATTTTAAATTTTATAATATTCTTAATTATTTTTTCTTTAAATCGTAAAATATGCCATTGAATGAGATCAGTAAACTGATTTCTTGAGAAATAGGTATATAATAAGATGCTTCACTACTCTTATATTGAGAAGTCCCTTCTTTTGTTATTTTAAATATATTTTTCAATATTCACCATATTAATGTGCTTGAAACTGATTGAAAATTCAACAGTTTCATGCTTAACTCTATAATATAAAATGAGTTTTATTATCATCAAATTTAATTTCAAGAAAATTTATGTGTTTACGTTTCGCCATAATTTTTAGAAAATTTAAAGTTAGTTATTTACTGTGATAATCAAGAGATG